GGCACCATTTTATAGTTTGAAAATAGTCCTTGAGCACTAGCCCCAGCTCAGAGAACCCACCCAGAAGTCGGTAGAAGACTTCTTGGTCCTCAGGGCGGTAACTGGGTCTTTTCTTCTTGTTTATCCAGAGTTTTGTCCCTTCGATATGGTCCACAGTCCATAGGCTCCTCTTTTTCCCCCTCCTGCAAAACTTCAGCTCTGAGACAGATTCAGAGAGGGCTGTGCTAGAGGCCTGTAGGCTACTTTTCTGGGCAACTGCAGGAACAAAATCCAGGTGACCATGGATGTTGCCATATCCTGGCCTAGTACTCTAAAATGGAGAAGTCACCTCATGAGGACAAGGCAGTTTGATACTCAGTTGTTACTGGCCCTTCTCGCAGGGACAAAGATGAGAGAAGATGAAGGACATGTACCTGTCTCCACATCCACCAATTTCCTTTTCCTCTGACCCCTCTTTCTCCTAGTTCTCTGCTTAGAGATGACCACTCCAGAGGCATCACTAGAGCTTGCCTGTGAAGCTGCAGGGAGAGAAGATCCCATGTGATCATTGGAGGAACCAACCTGAGCCATGTGGGCTCCTATAAATTTCCCATATACCTTGAATTTGCATGTGAACATCTGAGGACATGAGAGGACTGGCCCCCCACCCCCTTTGCACTTATCTACAAAGGAGTCTAGCAGTGAGTTACCATGTACCATTTTCTGCCAAGTACAGGCTGCTCTCTGGGACCTCTTTCTCTGTATCATTCTGCCTATAGGAAGTTTCTGTGGAGACAAATGAATTTTTTGGTTGTTGATCTGTCATAGCTACAAAAGTGAACAAGGGATTGACCTCATGACTCATCAGGAAACTTCTTCCAGTGCCTTTCCAGACTTGACTTAAAAGTAGAATAAAGAAGAGCAGAGCGGGGGCGATGGGCATGCTCTTCCATCCTTCCTTCACCTGGAGAGCAGGGCTTGAAGGGGCCAAGGGACGCCCACATCTTCCTACCTTCTGCTGGCACCTTCTTCTTCCCACCCTTTTTCCTTGGGTTCTGATGCTTTGGTGCTGTCTCTGAGGTAACTGATGTGGACATGAAGGAATCTGGTCTTCTCTTGGTCCCAGAATAATGAAGGGACCCCCACCTGATTCCAACCAGGCTATTTCTTTCTGCTTAACCTGTTTCTTGGAAAAAATAATAATTAAAGTTGTAATAATAGGAACTATCAGTTTTTCCTTTCTTGGTTTGGTTTTTAAGCATTGGGAATCTAATTTGGGAACTCAACACATGCCACTCTGCTACTGAGCCATATCCCAGCAGTTCTTGATTCCTTATTAAACTTTAGGTGTTAATTTGTACAATAAGAATGTCTCTCCTAGATTCTATAATCTGCCAGGTAAGAATTATAAGTCACCTGATTTACAGATGAGAAAACGATTACAGATTGATACAAACTTGTCTAGTGCTTGTTCCTTTCTATTACTAGAGCTCTGTGGATTTGGTGCCAGAATTCATGTGTATCAAGTGCTAATAGGAAAAATGGTGACTGAGCATCTGCCACGTTTCTAATAGGCTCAGGCTGGATGACCGTACATACCTGCTGTCTTCATCTGTGCTTACATATGTCTACTAATAATCATAAATTCACATGTAATTAAGTCTAACCCAAAGCTATGGTCATAGTGACCCAGCCACCTTCCACGTTGCCCCCTCTCAAGGCAGTCATTGGTGGACTTCCCTATTTTCACTGTCATCCCTTTTGCTCACTTTCCCTCTAATTCTCTCTTTTCCCCCAATCAGAAACCTGTTTCCACTCCCACTATGTCATCAGTTGTCTTTCTGGAGACTTGCTCCCGTGTTCCCTGACACATTGTCGGGACTCCTCGAAGGCACACGGTTCAGTGTAGCACTGGGTGGCACTCAGTGTGAGCACCTGCTTGGCTATCTCAGGATTGAGGCC